TCTTGACTCACCATAACCTATTCTACAAGGAGATCTTAGTCTTAAGAAACTGGAAACTGTACTCCCATCACAGAAGCACATGGTTCCAAGCTACCAGCTACTCTGTGAGAGAAAGATGGACTGTCTCCTCCTATGAGATTTACTGTCTGAGAACCCACTGGAGGGTCATCTATGGGTTGGTTCCAACTCAGTGATATTCAACAACAACAACTTTCTATGAAAGGAGCTCTGGTGGCCTAGTGGTAAGGAGCGGCACTGCCATCCAGCATGTGTTCAAATCCAACAGCTGCAATTAATTCCTGTGCAATTTAATGCCTCTGAAAACTCACAGGAGAGTCAGTTATGGATCAGTTCTGATTCAACAACAACGTACTAGGAACTCATCTAAATGTGGTTATATCTACAAAGATCTTATTCCCAAATGAGGTCATATTCCCACATTTCAGTCAAGCATGGATTTGGGTGAGCATTCATTGTGTTTTCTTCTTGCGTTTTCTCCAGAGTAGAAGAATCTCTAATGTCTTAGTGGTAAGACATTGTGCTGCAACTAAAAGGCTCGTGATTAGGATTCACCAGCTCCTGTGCAGGAGAAAGAGGGACAGTCTTCTCCCTTATGATTTACTGCCTCTGAAAACTCAGTGGAGGGTCAGCTCTGAGTCGGTTCTGACTCAGTGGTACATAGCAACAACAATGACATACCAAGAGTATTTTTATATGGCTCCACCAGGCCCTAACTCTGCTAATGTTCATTTTTCCAGCCTCAGATAAAATATTACTTATTTAAATGTATCTTTCCTGAACCCTTTGTTGTTGTTAGATGCTATCAAGTAATTTCCAAGTCATATTGATCCTGTGTACACCAGATCCTATATAGATTGTCTACTTCTGACCTCTCCTCAGAACCTCTGCTACATTTGAGCCCCCTGTTGCAGTGACTATCAGTTCATTGCATTGAAATTCTTCCTCTTTTTCTCTCACCCACTACTTTACCAAGCGTGATACCCTTCTCCAACAACTGGTCCCTGCTGAGAACATGTCCCCAGTAGGTGAGATCAAGTCACTATCCTGGCTTTTAAAGAGCATTCTGGTTAAATTTCTGGAAAAGGATGACATTTTTCTTCTGATTGTTTATGGTATCTTGGTATAGTCTTCACTAACACCTCAATTCAAAGCCATCAATTCACTGTCAGTCTTCCTCATTCACTGTGCATATGAAGCAATTTAAAATATCACGGCTTGAGTCAGGTGCACCTTCCTTTTCTATTCCCCTCAAAGTGACAGCTTTACTCTTTCACATAGACCTCTTGCAGTAGATTTGTTCAATACATTATTTGATTTCCTGATTGCTACTCCCAGAGGCATTTATCTAAATAAAAGAAAATCCTTGATGAGGTCAATCATTTCTCTATCATAATGCCACTTGCTGGTTCAGTTGTGAAGATTTTTGCTTCTTTATGTTTAAATATAACTCATTGTGAAATCATTAGGGTTTGGTCTTGATCCATGTGATAGATCTTGAAATGGTCTTTCTGATGATGAATGTCACACTTCCTCTTCAATTTATCATTCCTGGCATAGAAGACCATATGATTGTCTGATTTACAATGACAAATACCGGTTCGCTTCAGCTCACTAACAACTGGGATATTGATCTTTTTGTGTTCCATTTCACATTTGACAACTTCCAATTTTCCTAGATTCATACTTTTTATGTTCCAGGTTTCAATTATTAATGGTTGTGTTGGGCTGTTTTATTTTATTTTTCTCACTCTGAGTCAGGAAACATCAGCATTTGAATACCTTAACCTTTATTCCATTTGTGTCACTAACATAGATTCTACTTTGAAGAAGGAGCCTTGGTGGTGTAGTGCATTACATGTTACACTGTCAAACAAATGGTCGTAATGCAAATTTACCAGTCACTCCAGAGGAGAAAAATGGGCAGTCTCTGTTCATTAAGATTTACAGACTTAGGAATATAGTGAAGGGTCACCATCAATTGAAGCTGAATTCATAGGAGTGCATTCAGTTGGCTCTGGTCTAACTGGAGCAGGCAGCTTTCCTTCATCGTATTTTCAGTGCTTGCCAACATTCAGGGCTTATCTTCCAATAGTACATTAGACAGTACACTGCAACTACTAGTAAGATTTTCCCTGGCTGATATTTTTTCAAAAGTAGAACATGGATTGAAGCTCAACATCAAGAAAACAAAGATTCTCACCACTGGGCCGATTGGCAGCATCATGATAGATGGTGAAACATTTGAGATTGTTCACAGCTTTAGTTTGCTTGTCTCCACAATCAACACTCTTGGTACCATCAGACAGGAAATTAAAAGATGAACTGCATTGGAAGAGTCTGCTGTGAGAGACCTCTCCAAAGTACTGAAGAGCAATGATGTCAGTCTGGAGACTAAGGTGTGCCTGATACAGGCCATGATCTTTGCAATTCCTTGCTATATGTCAGAAAGTTGGATAAAACTAGGGATGATAGAAGGAGAATCGATGCATTTGAGCTGTGGTACTGAAGAATAGTATTAAATATACCATGGACAGCTAGGAGAACAAACAGGTTCACCTAGAGAAGGTGAAACCAAGATGCTCCTTGTAGGCAAGGATTCTGAAGCTTTGTCTGACATACTTTGGACATGTTACATGGAGGAACCAGTCCTTGGAGAGGGGTGTCATGCTTGGGAGGGTGAAGGGACAGCGCAGGAGGGGAAGACTCTCGATGAGATGGATTGACTCAGTGACTGAGGTAATGGGGGTAGATGTGTCAGAGACAATAACATTGGCACAGAATAGAAGAGGGTTTAGGGCTGTTAAACAGGGTCACTATGAGTTGCAAGTGACTCAACGGCACATAACAACAAACAACAACTAAACATTAATCTTTCTTCATCCTCCACTTAGTCTGGAAGGTCCACTGAAACTCATCCACGATGCTTGACCCTCCTGGTGTTTAAGACACTGTTGACATTGCTCCCAGATTCTTAGCAACACATGCCACCACCACTTCAGTATAACAAACTGACAGATGGATATTGACTAAACTTTAGGTTAGATAATATTCCTCTATCACAAGATTCTCTATTTCTCTACTATCATCATCATAGTTGAATTGCTGATTAGTATCTTTCTGCTCTCCTGGAATATAAATTCAATGAGGGCAGTGAACCTGCTTATTTCCTCTGTCTCTTGTATTCTTGGCAACTACTACAGATTTTTGCACTGCCAGGCCAAAGATAGGTGGTTCTAATCCAATAGCTGTCCCATGGTAGAAAGATGAGCAATCTCCTCCATGTGATTTACAGCCTCTACAAACCTGCTGAAGAGTCAGCTGAGTGGGTCCCAATTTGAAGGCAATGCCTTATTGTTTTTATTTTGCTTGTTAGACAACCAGTAAGCATTTTCTAAATGGAAGAGTAAGTCAATCAACCACTGAATGAGCCGATGAATAGTTTTGGCCTGATCTTCATACTTCCTGTGTCTCTTGTTTCCCTGGCATCTGCCACAGTTTTTTGCTCTGCCAGCCTAAAGACAGGATTCTAGAACTAGAATCCACAATAACTTAATCTTGAGAAGATTTGAGGCTGTTATTATTCCCCCTAACTTATCTCTTCAAACCTCTTCCTGTAAGTATGTATATTTATGATTTAGATCTTCCTGGAAGAGAGAAGAGGCAACCCAGTCCTCTGTCCAACTGAGTGACCCTTGGTATCTTTGGTCCAGTTCTGTCATGGGGAAGACCTCTCTTCTCAAAGCACAGTCACTATCCTATTCAGGTCTAGTGAGTTCAGGTGAAGCGTCACGTAACTGAAACACTGGAGACCACTGATAAAAAGCCATTTTGACCCTTCTGTTTTGCTTTCTTTCTAGTAATAAATTTACTTTGCTTTCATCTTAAAGAAAAATTCACAGATTCCTTCTCAAACATCTGGTACTTGGTATAATAAGAAGCAGTGTGGTGCAGTGGGTAGAGTATTGGGTCAGAAGAACCAGCCCCCAGGTGTGGCATTGTCCTTTGTTTTCTGTGTGTCCTCAAACAAACCATCTGAATTTTTCTGGCCAGAATATTTTGCTTGTAAATCTAGACAGATTTGCAAAATGTTCCTGTAAGCACCAAATGACATAGTAATATTTTACTATTTTACGTAGGGCTTACTGCTTTCATAGTTGAATTATGAAAGTGATTTTTAACTATGGTGTGTTAGACAAAGTATGATCCTTGAAAGCAGCTTTACTTTCTTAATTTTAAAAGCATCTATTAAGAAGTGAATTTTCATTCGTGCCAGTTGATATCAGGTAAAAACAGAGCAACAACAAAGCTGGTGGGAGGGAGAAAATAATGAGCTGGCTTGATCTCAAGTCAAGAGATTATTGAGCATTGATTAGTTATGGACTATCTCCCTTGCTCTTATTCATTCTGCCCTAGTATAAAAACTAAAGAAACCAATATGATCTTTCCTTATGGGTCAGAATTAGGTTTATTGTTAATACTTGAATAAGCAAAAACTTGGTGTGAGTGACAACTAAGTCGCAGACCAGATCATCTACATGAAATTATTTTAGAGGAAACACAACTCCTATTTAGGCTCCCTTATCGCTTGAAATTCAGTCACACGACAAAACCCTTTTTCAAAAATCAGTGATGATGTGGAATTCTAAATCTCCTTCAGAGGAGTATTGTGATAAATATTTACTAAGATGTGAAGATAAGAGGTATGCTTATTGGTAATAGAACTTGGAGGAAAATTATGTTAAACAAGTATTTCATGGTAAAAAAAGAAAAATACAATGAGTATGAACCAAACCACCATTTTACTAGGGTCTGGCACATTAAAATGGATTTCTTTCCAAATCTATTCTTTTTTAAAAATTATCACAAGCAAAATAACTACTGTGAGAAGAAGTAACAACTACTCAAAGTGAATTATAGTATAGCTTCATATGCACTATAGTTCTAGGCTGACCTGTTTTGACCTTCTGTTTCACTTGCAGACTTATAAATGAGTCGTTGAGGGACCAGCTGTTGGTGACCATACAGAAGACTTTCACGTACACGCGAACCCAGGCTCAGCATCTGTTCATCATCCTCATGGAATGTATGAAGAAGAAGGAACTGGTAGGTACAGGAAGCTCTACCCATTCCTTCTGCCTGTTTAATTCTCTTATTTAATCACACCAAGTTTTTTTTCTCTCTTTCTCTCTGTCATAAAACTTACAACCCAACACACGGTCCACTGATTTCTACAGGTTCCTCTCCCAAATAGGGAAGACACAGCATCGTCTGTCTTAGATTTAATTTAATGAAATATACTGTAAGGTGTTAACATCAGTTCTTTTCATTTGGAGCTCATCCAAACACTCTGATAGCCTTCCCCAAATAAGTTGACAACAAGAGTTTTCCTCCTAGAAAATGCTTCAGTGAATCCTCTCTTAGATTGGGGCTTCACTTTCTTTTGTATACTGAATTACAGATGGTCTTTGTGTCAAATATCTCCAGTGATGCAGACCCAGGCTAAGATGCCCATCAGCACAAGTGGAAAAATGAAGACAGTTCCCAAAGTAATGCTAACAATACCAATGTCTGTCTTTTCTGAAATGTCTTCTAGCAGCTTCTTCAGAGTTTCTGGGATTTCTCAAATCTGGGATGCCATGCCCAGAGATGCGCTTTAAGGGTAAATTTGAGTGGCATGAGCAAACATTTGCACACTTGCTATGAATCAGACAGGTGTATTAATACATATGAGTTTTGCAATTGGCTCAACAAGAAACAAGAAACACATATCTGTTGTTTTATCTTATAGATCAGAGAGTTAAAGTGGTAGAATCTAATCATTATGGGAAGTATTTTCCTTTAGAAATTGTCTTGTTGAAGTAAAAATAGTGACTTACTTACTCTGGGGAGAAGTGTGTCTGAATGAGCAAACACAAACCTTTCTGAAAAGCTCAGGATAAGAGTAGATGTTGACAAGGTTCAAGGATCTGTTTAAACTTGTCACTTGGTTTTGGACAATCTTAAACTGTGGAGCATCCTGTTATGAGTCTCCTGGGAGCATCTGCAGACCTTCGTCCTCTGTAGCTTTTTTATTATTTTTTTTTATTAAATTTTATTCATTTTCATGAACATTTACAGAGATTTTGGGTTTCCATTCATTCATTGTTGCACTATTTTCCCTACCCTCCCCCCAGTTCATTCCTCTTTTTCTTTCCCCCCTTGAAAGTCTGTTTTAATTGTCCCATTGCCACAGTGCTTGTCAAAGCCAGTTCTGATTAATTTCCTTTGTCAGTGTGTCCTTTGCCATTCCCTATCACCCCTCCCTGAGAGAGACTTCACCCTGATTCATAAGGAAAAGGGGACGGCGTATTCTCTTAGCTACTTCCTGCTGAAAAGAGACCGTGTAGGTTTCAGGGTGAAGATCTCCTCTCACTACTCTAAAGGGCCCTTTTGGCAATAGGAAACACATAGACTATTGTGGAGATTGATTTTGGAATTTAAATGCACTGTTATCAATTGTGCTTAGCTGTACATGTTCATATCCTTGGAGATGTATCATGGAACTGTTGCAGGCTAGAAAACACAAATTTAACTAACAAGTTAAAAGTACATGAGCTTTTGTTGTTGTGAGGTGCCGTAGAAATGAGTACAACTCACAGTGACTCTGAACAACAGATCTGAACCTTTCCTATCCTGTGTCATCCTCATCATCTCTGATGTACTTGACCCCATTGTTACCGTCACTAAGTCAGTCTGACTCTTTGAGGGTCTTCCTTTCTTTTGCTGACCCTCTACCTTTCCAAGCATGATTGTCTTTTTCCAAGGAACAACCCTTCCTGTGTGCCCAAAATATGTGAGACCAAGCTTCAACATTCTTCTCTCCCTCATTGTACTTTCTGCAAAATATGCTGTTTGTACTCTAGGCAGCCCGTGGGGTATTCAGTACTTTTCTCTAATACCACAACTAGAGGCCTCAAAAGGCAGAGAGATGGGATAAAGAGGAGCAAGCTGCATTTTAACCTTTCCTCACCTCCCACCAGACAATGCACTATTCAAGGGCTAGGACTGCAAGTGTTTGATTCATAACTGTGTTATTCCTGAACCCAGGACAGTGCCTGGCACAAACGAATGCCCCCAGGCCTGCAGGGAGAAGAGTGGAGGAAAGAAGGAACATCTCTGTTTGAGAAACCAAATGTTCAGGGAAAAAAAATTATTATTGTAGAGTAGCTGTCTTAGGGCTGCTGTAACAAAACACCGCCAAGTGGGTGATAGTAACAGAAGCTTATTTTCTCACAATGTTGGGGGCTAGATGCCCAAATTAACCTACTGTTGTTGTTGTTGTTGTTATGTACCATAGAGTCGGAACCAATCCACAGCTGATTCTTTGGCAGGTTTTCAAAAGCACAGGAGGAGATTGCCTATCCTTCTCCTGTGGAGGAACTGGTGACCTCGAACCATATGCCTTCAGGATTGCAGCACAGCTTCTTGCCACTAGGTCACCAGAGCTCCTTAAAATTACCCTACTAGACAAACCAATTCCCTCTGAAAGAGCTGAGAGAGAAACTGTCCCATGATACTTTCCTAGCCTGTGGTGATTTTCCCACCAATTCTTAAAGTTCCTTGGCTCACATCTGCTCCCCTATTCACATGCCTGCCTTTCTTGGAATTTTCCACGTCTGGAATCCTGACCTTGGGCAAACTACAGTGTGGGTTTTCCTGTGAGTACTAATCATTTTCCATGCTAATGCTAGCACTGACTGTCAAACTCCACTCCCACGATACATCTCAGCAGTCTCTCAGATTTCCTAGAAAGGCAGTCAGGATTCAGATTCTAGGAGCTGATTCAAAGTCATAAAAGCAAATGAGGCTGAATGTCCTTCTCTGGGTCTTTCAAGGGACGATTGTGCCAGATTCTACCTGATAATTTACTTGATGATTGTCATCTCCGTTAATCATAGCCCCTGCTGAAAAGGTCACTCAGATTTTAATTGGAGGCATTCAGAAATGCTCAGCATTCCTATCTCTAGGCAGAGAAAAGTCTTCTTATCAACCAATGCATTATGATTATTTACCCATTAGAGTAGAAATAAATCAGGAATTTTAAAAATAACTGTCATTAAAAGAATATTTCATTTTGAAGGTTGATTTTTATTTAGAAAGAGAAGTTTTGCAAACAATATAAATGGGAGAGGAGAATCCAAACTTATTTGCCATAGCTGTAAGGTGTGCTTGGGTCCACTATAACTCATATCTACCCTGAGAACAACAGACCGGAACCTTGCACTATCCTGTGACTTCATCACAATCTCTATTATACACAAGATCATAGTCTACTGCACCAATTCATTTCAATGAGTCCACATCTATTAAATTGACCAGTCAACATTTCTCAACATGATGTCCTTTCGTAAGGACTGGTCAACACGCCCGAAGGATGTGAGATAAGTTTCACCATCTAGGCCTCTGTGGAATATTTTGGTTGCAGTTTCTCAGAGATGAGTTTGTTTGTTCTTTTCACACTCCACCTTCATCTTTAAACTGATTTCTTTACTCTTTAGCTCTCTAAAGAGGTCCTTGACAGCAGAGTTCCCCAATACAGCACATTTTTTGAATTCTTGACTGTTGATAACAGAGGCATTGATTGTGAATTCAAGTAAAATGAAATTAATAGCAATTTCAATCTTTCTCCATCTATTGTGATGTTGCCCTATTAGTCCAGCAATAACAATGTTAGGGGGAAAGTGAGACATAAAGACGTGAAAGTGTTGTTTAACAGTTTCTGTTAAGGATGGTTTGAAAAACATACATGGAAACAGAGAATGGCGATGGTTGCACAACAAGGGAACATACATAACATTGCAGTATTGTACCTGTGAAAATTCTTGAACTGTCAAATATTGTTATTTATATATATATATATATATATATATATATATATATATATCATCACAATTTAAAAAAAAAGGTTTTAAAGGGGAAAAAACCCAAAAGAGCCAAGGCAGCACGTGAGCTTGGAGACAAATTTAAAAGATGAGGAGTTAGTGTCTCTCACTCTTCCCCTCCTCACGAGGGAATAGGTCCTGAAGAACATCAAGAGAGGAAAGAGAGCCAGAGGTGGCCATGAATTGCCTGGGATGACTGATGTGTGTAGAAAACACAGACTTATCATTCCAAAGGTCATTACCAGCTCCTCTCTCTGCTGCCGAGTCAAGTCCTTATTCAAATTCCTCAAGTTCTTTTGCAGAAGCCTTTCCACAGTGTCACTTCTCAGTTACCAACCTCAGGATGGGGTGATATATTCCTTTCTGTACCCTGGAGGGAGGGAAAGTTGGATTTAGCAACCTCCACCCCAAGGTGTGTGTAGTACTAAACACATTATGGTGGCTGATGATGCTTCTATTTCATAACCTTCCATTTCCACACTGATGACTTCTCTGGTTCCCTGTTCTCCCAGATGCTGGTCAATGCTATTCATCTCCCACCACATCATAATCGCACCTGAGGTCACGTCCAATGCCACTCCAAACTGAATCTCTTCCAAACCCAACTTCCCCATCTTGCTCCTCTTACCACTTCCTGTGTATGGAAACTTCTTGGCTTGGTGCCCAGGCTCCGTGTCTATAATTAACTAGCTGAGCTCAAATTCCTGAGATTATTTTTATTT